GTGAGGGGTCAGTGACCTCACAGGATAGTCAGGAGAAGCCATCCATTTGCCAAGTTAGTCAGGCACAGGAAATTGTACCCTTATCTCTCACCCAAATGACCCCGATCCTCAAAATGCCCAGAGAGAGAGAGAGAGAGAGAGAGAGAGAGAGAGAGAGAGAGAGAGAGAGAGAGAGAGAGAGAGAGAGAGAGAGAGAGAGAGAGAGAGAGAGAGAGAGAAGAAATTCAAGATAGAACGAAAAATGGAATTGAGAATATACTCCAGAAAGGAAGATTCGAAATATAGAGTTCAGTTGCAACATTGCTTTGTAAAATGCTGATCATACGATGCCTTGGGCATACGACACGAGCACAAGGATATTTACGATCTTTAAACACAGCTATTTAAGATGTTGTGAGATGCACAGAAAATCATTATGTAGTGAATTTCTGAAATGGTGCATCAAGATGGTATGAGCTTGTCCTCACAGTCAGTCTCGCTCAGTCGTGAGAGACCTAGGAGAAGGTTGTAAATATTGGTTCTTCAGTGATACATTTGTACATTTTACCATTGGGAAGAATACAAGTTGTTTGAATTCATTTATTTAAGAAAACCTATTTAAATAAATAGTAATAACCTTTAAAGACACACACACACACACACACACATACACACACACACACACACACACACACACACACACACACACACACACACACACACACACACACACATACACACACACACACACACACACACACATACACACACACACACACACACACTATTTCGACCAAAGAGCTAGAGCTCAACCCCCGCAAACACAATTAGGTGAGTACACACACACACACACACACACACACACACACACACACACACACACACACACACACACACACACACACACACACACACACTCTTTGGACCAAAGAGCTAGAGCTCAACCCCCGCAAACACAATTAGGTGAGTACACACACACACACACACACACCCATACACAAGCCTCGCTGCTGAGTTGACAACGCTCGGAGGTCGAAGTCCTAATGACCCGAGTTCGATTCCCGTCGGAGGCGGGAACAAATGGGCAGAGTTTCTTTCACCCTGATGCATCTATTCACCTAGCAGTAAATAGGTACCTGGGAGTTAGACAGCTGCTACGGGCTGCTTCCTGAGGATGTGTGTGAGAGACAAATATATGCAGTAGATATAAGAGGGAAAATAGATTGGTTAAAAAGGCGGGGTCCAAGAGCTAATAGCACGATTCAGCAGCCACAAATAGTAAACACATATAGTAAATACACACACACAAGCAAATATTTCCTTCCGTATATATCCATTAACGTTTAAATCCACTTAAGAGGATTAAAATTTTGGACTCAAAAGTGTTTGTACGAGAGCTCTTAAAACCTGCTTCTCTTCTTTCATTCACACGTAAACACCAAGAGAAGACATTAGCATACAAAGCCTCGGGCCAGTAGTAACCAGACGCGAGAGAATAGAAGGAGTAAAGAAAGGAGGAGAAGCAAAGGTGGGAAGATAACGAGAGGAGTTATAGGAAGAAGACGATGATAAAGAGGAGATGAAAGAGCAGTAAGTTTGGAACAAATCCACATTCGAACAAATCCGAGGTTCGAATCCTCGTCACGGCCCTTGTGGATTTGTTCATTTGATGCATCACGTTAGTGTGATCTCTGTGTGTGAGCAGTAAGTTTGTTTTTGAGATATATACAAGAGTTGTTACATTCTTGTAGAGCCACTAGTACGCGTAGCGTTTCGGGCAGGTCCCTGGAATACGATCCCCGCCGTGAAGAATCGTTGTTACAACCAAGTACACATTTTACTGTTGCGTTAAACAGAGGCTACAGTTAAGGATTTGCGTCCAGTAAATCCTCCCCGGCCAGGATACGAACCCATGACAAAGCGTTCGCGGAACGCCAGGCGAGTGTCTTACCACTGCACCACGGAGACTATAGGATGAGGAAGAAGTGGATGAGGAAGAAGTGGATGAGGAAGAGCTAGAGGAGGACCCTTGTGGATTTGTACGTTCACAGTCTAGCAGAACAAGTAAGCTCATTCTTGTCAGTGTTTGCTGACGATGGCCAGCTAATGAGGCGAATCAGAACTGACGAGGACTGCTGTATATCACATGATATACTACACAATCTTCAGAGATGGTCTGAGAAATGGCTACTAGACCTTTACCCTGACAAATGCAAGGTTATGCGGACAGGAATAAAACTAAATTATCGAAGACTCAGAGGTTTCCCACCAGACTAGTGCCCGAACCGAGGGGCATGAGCTATGAGGAGAGACTACGGGAATTAAACCTCACGCCGCTGGAAGACAGGAGTTAGGGAGACATGATCACCACATACAAGATTCTCAAAGGAATTGATAGGGTAGACAAAGACAGGTTAATTAACACAAGGGGCACACGCACTAGGGGACACAGAAATTGAGTGCTCAAATGGGCCATAAAGACATTAGAATTAGTTTAGTTAGAATAGTTAATAAATGGAATGCATTAGGAAGTGATGAGGTGGAGGCTGACTCCATACACGATTTCAAATGTAGATATGATAGAGCCCAGTAGGCTCAGGGAACCTGTACACCAGTTGATTGACAGTTGAGAGGCGTTCGACCAAAGAGCCAAAGCTCACCCCCCCCCCCCCCGCAAGCACAACTAAGTGAGCACACAGAAGCACACCCTACAAACACGAACAGATCTAAGCAGCAAGAGGTGACTATAACCAAAGCCGCAGCGATTTGACGGCCTGTCAAATCGTCAAAGTATATTCCGTCATTAATTCCTGTCATCCAGGCCGCGTCCCTCTGCCTTCCTCACACACACCCGCCTAAATATGCCACAATTTATGTTAAAGTGCTTCTAATTGCCGTTTTTAATGCTAATTATTTACAAAATCTGCATGCTGATGATAGTATTGTGCGTGTTCCTCTGCTCATTGGTGAATTATTTCAGGCGATTTGGCTCTTAATCGCCAATTTTCCGAGACCAGTTTTGAGGAACTTGATAATAAGCTGCATGATAATAAGTGAAGGATATAACAAGATGATACGTAGACGCGTTTTGGACGCGTCGTGTTCTGCTAGGATATGATGTGGTATGTTAGAGCAGCATGGTGTGCTGTGATAGGTTATGATGTGATATGTTGGAGCATAATGTGATGTGTAATGATATTCTGTATTATGTTAGGCTATATGTTAGCGCATGGTATGCTGTGCTGTGTTAGCGCATGATGTCTGCTATGTTATTATAGAGCATGATGTGCCGTGATATGTTATAACGTATGCTGGGGTATGCTAGAGCTTAAGGTGCCGTGCTGGATACAATACGTGCTGTTATGATGTTATGTTCCAGGATATGCTATGCTATGTGACAGCATGATGTGCCAGGATAGGTTGAACAATACTAAGATAACCTGAGGTATGTTAAGACAACCATTCTATTCTGCTATGTTTAAGGCAGAGAGAGAGAGAGAGAGAGAGAGAGAGAGAGAGAGAGAGAGAGAGAGAGAGAGAGAGAGAGAGAGAGAGAGAGAGAGAGAGAGAGAGAGAGAGAGAGAGAGAGAGAGAGAGAGAGAGAGAGCCACACCGGACTATCAGGAGGGCGCAAGGTGGCGGACATTGCCATAAATCTCCCAAATCACTTTCCAAAAGTTTGAAGCCAATCGCTCAAAATCGGGTGAATGACGCCTGACCTTGACCCGGGCCCCCGCGCGCTGGCCCCACCGGTAGTGACCCCTCAAGAATTTAATTCAAAAGTTGGAAGACGATCAATGGTGTTGTTGTGTGAGGTGTATGGTGGTGGGTGTCGTTGTATGTGTGTATGAGGGAGGATTGTTGGTCTCCTTAGGAGGGTGTATAAGGGGGCCGCTGGTCACGTTAGGAGGGTGTATAAGGGGGCCGCTGGTCACGTTAGGAGGGTGTATAAGGGGGCCGCTGGTCACGTTAGGAGGGTGTATAAGGGGGCCGTATAAGGGTGTATAAGGGGGCCGTCACGTGGTCTGGTCGTTAGGAGGGTGTATAAGGGGGCCGCTGGTCACGTTAGGAGGGTGTATAAGGGGGCCGCTGGTCACGTTAGGAGGGTGTATAAGGGGGCCGCTGGTCGGAGGGTGCATAAGGGGGCCGCTGGTCACGTTAGGAGGGTGTATAAGGGGGCCGCTGGTCTCCTTAGGAGGGTGTATAAGGGGGCCGCTGGTCTCCTTAGGAGGGTGTATAAGGGGGCCGCTGGTCACGTTAGGAGGGTGTATAAGGGGGCCGCTGGTCACGTTAGGAGGGTGTATAAGGGGGCCGCTGGTCACGTTAGGAGGGTGTATAAGGGGGCCGCTGGTCACGTTAGGAGGGTGTATAAGGGGGCCGCTGGTCACGTTAGGAGGGTGTATAAGGGGGCCGCTGGTCACGTTAGGAGGGTGTATAAGGGGGCCGCTGGTCACGTTAGGAGGGTGTATAAGGGGTATAAGGGGGTGTACCGCTGGTCACGTTAGGAGGGTGTATAAGGGGGCCGCTGGTCACGTTAGGAGGGTGTATAAGGGGGCCGCTGGTCACGTTAGGAGGGTGTATAAGGGGGCCGCTGGTCACATTAGGAGGGTGTATAAGGGGGCCGCTGGTCACGTTAGGAGGGTGTATAAGGGGGCCGCTGGTCACGTTAGGAGGGTGTATAAGGGGGCCGCTGGTCACGTTAGGAGGGTGTATAAGGGGGCCGCTGGTCACGTTAGGAGGGTGTATAAGGGGGCCGCTGGTCACGTTAGGAGGGTGTATAAGGGGGCCGCTGGTCACGTTAGGAGGGTGTATAAGGGGGCCGCTGGTCACGTTAGGAGGGTGTATAAGGGGGCCGCTGGTCACGTTAGGAGGGTGTATGACACAATACACAGTCACAGGAGCAATATACAGAGGCCGAACCATACTGGATGATGTTGAATGAGAAGAGTAAGGGAAAGAAGAGCCAAACGCTGGTGAGGAATTAGATTCAGATTCAGAATATTTGAGCCACGGAGCTACAGAGCGCCTCGCCACGCCCACGGAGGTACAGAGTGCCTCGCCACGCCCACGGAGGTACAGAGTGCCTCGCCACACCCACGGAGGTACAGAGTGCCTCGCCACGCCCACGGAGGTACAGAGCGCCTCGCCACGCATACGGAGGTACAGAGCGCCTCGCCACGCCCACGGAGGTACAGAGTGCCTCGCCACGCCCACGGAGGTACAGAGCGCCTCGCCACGCCCACGGAGGTACAGAGTGCCTCGCCACGCATACGGAGGTACAGAGCGCCTCGCCACGCCCACGGAGGTACAGAGCGCCTCGCCACGCATACGGAGGTACAGAGCGCCTCGCCACGCATACGGAGGTACAGAGCGCCTCGCCACGCATACGGAGGTACAGAGCGCCTCGCCACGCCCACGGAGTACAGAGTGTCTCGCCACGCCCACGGAGGTACAGAGCGCCTCGCCACGCCCACGGAGGTACAGAGCGCCTCGCCACGCCCACGGAGGTACAGAGCGCCTCGCCACGCCCACGGAGGTACAGAGCGCCTCGCCACGCCCACGGAGGTACAGAGCGCCTCGCCACGCCCACGGAAGTACAGAGTGTCTCGCCACGCCCACGGAGGTACAGAGCGCCTCGCCACGCCCACGGAGGTACAGAGTGCCTCGCCACGCCCACGGAGGTACAGAGCGCCTCGCCACGCCCACGGAGGTACAGAGTGCCTCGCCACGCCCACGGAGGTACAGAGCGCCTCGCCACGCCCACGGAGGTACAGAGTGCCTCGCCACGCCCACGGAGGTACAGAGCGCCTAGCCACGCCCACGGAGGTACAGAGCGCCTCGCCACGCCCACGGAGGTACAGAGCGCCTCGCCACGCCCACAGAGGTGCACAATGCCGCCCACACAGCAACACATCATCACGTACAGAGCCACATGTGTCTGCCAAATGGACCAACTTCCTGAGTTCCGGCCACAGTTGGTCCTGTAAACTTAGTAGTGCACTTACTCCCGTGTGTGTGTGCGTGTGTGTGTGTGTGTGTGTGCGTGCGTGTGTGTGCACGTGTGTGTGTGTGTGTGTGTGTGTGTGTGTGTGTGTGTGTGTGTGTGTGTGTGTGTGTGTGTGTGTGTGTGTGTGTGTGTGTGTGCGTGCGTGTGTGTGCACGTGTGTGTGTGTGTGTGTGTGTGTGTGTGTGTGTGTGTGTGTGTGTGTGTGGTGTGTGTGTGTGTGTGTGTGTGCGTGCGTGTGTGTGCACGTGTGTGTGTGGATAAGAAGTGTTGACGGCGGAGCCGGAAATTAACTATATTCCCTCCCCCCACCCGTCCCTTCCATCATTCCTCCACCCTCGTTCATAAATCGTCAGATATCAACTACATCATAGGCGCCAGCTCCTCCTCCAACACCAGCTTCTCCTGCAGCAGCAGCAGCAGCTCCTCCTGCAGCAGCAGCTCCTCCTCCAACACCAGCTCCTCCTGCAGCAGCAGCAGCTCCTCCTCCAACACCAGCTCCTCCTGCAGCAGCAGCAGCTCCTCCTCCAACACCAGCTCCTCCTGCAGCAGCAGCAGCTACTCCAACACCAGCTCCTCCTGCAGCAGCAGCAGCTCCTCCTCCAACACCAGCTCCTCCTCCAGCAGCAGCAGCTCCTCCTCCAACACCAGCTCCTCCTCCAGCAGCAGCAGCTCCTCCTCCAACACCAGCTCCTCCTCCAGCAGCAGCAGCTCCTCCAACACCAGCTCCTCCTCCAGCAGCAGCAGCTCCTCCTCCAATACCAGCTCCTCCAACGCCAGCTTCTCCTCCTCCAGCGCCAGCTCCTCCTCCAGCAGCAGCTCCTCCTCCAACACCACCTCCTCCAGCAGCAGCTCCTCCTCCAACACCACCTCCTCCAGCAGCAGCTCCTCCTCCAGCAGCAGCTCCTCCTCCAACACCACCTCCTCCAGCAGCAGCTCCTCCTCCAACACCACCTCCTCCAGCAGCAGCTCCTCCTCCAGCGCCAGCTCCTCCTCCAACACCACCTCCTCCAGCAGCAGCTCCTCCTCCAGCGCCAGCTCCTCCTCCAATACCAGCTCCTCCAACGCCAGCTCCTCCTCCTCCAGCGCCAGCTCCTCCTCCAACACCACCTCCTCCAGCAGCAGCTCCTCCTTCAGCAGCAGCTCCTCCTCCAACACCACCTCCTCCAGCAGCAGCTCCTCCTCCAGCGCCAGCTCCTCCTCCAACACCACCTCCTCCAGCAGCAGCTCCTCCTCCAGCGCCAGCTCCTCCTCCAACACCACCTCCTCCAGCAGCAGCTCCTCCTCCAGCGCCAGCTCCTCCTCCAACACCACCTCCTCCAGCAGCAGCTCCTCCAGCGCCAGCTCCTCCTCCAACACCACCTCCTCCAGCAGCAGCTCCTCCAGCGCCAGCTCCTCCTCCAGGAATGCTGAAGTTCATAACTAGCCAATGAAGCTGAACGGGCTATACCACCCGTAAGGGACAGAGAAGCCAAGATACAAACTTGCCTACGGTTTAATTTAAACAATTCCTAGACTCGAGAAGGAGAACAACAGCTTGAACAAGTTACAGGAAGCACTGAACAGAAGGGAACCACTATATATATATACTGTATACAGAACTACAAGAGAGAGGAATGAATACACAGGTATTCTAAAAGCAGCAGAGAAGCAGTATGAGAATAATATAGCATCCAAGGCCAAGGAACAACCTAAACTACGAGTGGCTCTATAGTGAGTACTATAGAGCCACACGAGGAGGAAGATGTATATAAATAAACAGGTGACCAGGCTACATAAAAGAGGCCACACAAAGCATGATAAGGAAGTGTGCGAAGAACTCAATAAAAAGCTTCCATGAAGTTTTCATGATTGAACCAGACCTGTGACCCCAGATCTACGACTTCTAACACAAACAACGCTACCAGAAAAAAGACTGATCAAAATAAAAGTAATACAGAGGAAGTAAAGAAACACTTAGAGGAGGAAACACTTGGATTTGTTCACTTAGAGGAGCTGAACGCGGTGAAAGACACAGACCCTGACGAGATCTCACCCTGGGTTCTAAAAGTGGCCGCTGAAGCATATTGTGCAACCCGTTCTCGCACTTGCTTACAGTCAATATTGGCTTATTTAATAAGTGCATATGTGACATACTATTTGATTGTGAATATTTTAGTTTACCTTGAAAAGCTTAATAGAAAACACCGACCTCACCTAACCTTCTTAGTATGTTAAGATAAGCACCTTATTGCTTCTTATTTACAATTATTACTTAAACTATCAACGGTATAGGTTAAGTAATAATTGTAATTAAGAAGCAATAAGATGCTTATCTTAACATACTAAGAAAGTTAGATGAGGTCGGTGTTTTCTAAGAAGCTTTTCAAGGTAAACTAAAATATTCCCAATCAATTAGTATGTTACATATGCACTTATTAAATAAGCCAATATTGACTATAAGTAAGTGCGAGAACGGGTTGTAGTGTGGACCCCTTGCTATAAGCTTCAACTCCTCACTAAAAACTGAGGAACTTCTTGACATCTGGAACGTGTCAAATGTGGTACCTGTGTACCAGAAAGGAGGAAGACAGGCACAAATAGGTGAGTACACCCATACACGCAAATACACAAATATTCTTCTTCTGACTTTTAATTGGTCAATATAATGTTCCATCATTGTTATAATGACAGGTAAAACGTTAACCGCAATAGGCCCACCTGGATGAAAATTCAATAATGGCTTTGAAGAGAATATAGAGATTTACCGCTAATTTTGACGGTTTATGAACAATACAAAGCTTAATAATTTTCCAGCGAGGTTCCTCACTGTCACTAATGACAAACCATTTGGAGACCTAAATACGTCTCAATAATATATATATATATATATATATATATATATATATATATATATATATATATATATATATATATATATATATATATAGTATATAGCTAAAGTCGAGGATGTGGGTCCCTTTAATTAAACCAGTGGTGGTACCCCTATATATATATATATATATATATATATATATATATATATATATATATATATATATATATATATATATATATATATATATATATATATATATATATATATATATATATAATAATAAAAAAGCTATAACAACAGAATTATGAGAACCAACTTGCAATAACAAACAGAAATAGATGAAAATAGACCACAAAATTAGAGAGGAAATCTTAGAACAAAAAACTTTATAACTAAAACAACAACAAATACATCAACCCCAATTAAGAGCAGTTAGTAAAACACGCAAAATTGATCAATAAAGTTAAATAATAATAATAATAATAATAATAATAATAATAATAAAGTAATGGCCTGGACAAGAGATTATTGACCCCTTTAAGGTGACATCACTACAAATTCAAAATAAAAAAATAGTCTGCATTGATGTCAAAAAATGATCTAAAACTGTAAAATAGTTCCTTTAAAATCAATATAAACAATACAGATTATATTAAATCAACAATTATATGAATACAATCATTTTGTTAAGTAAATTCACATGTTTACGAAGCCTTCAAATATGTGAGGAATTCAATGAAAGTTGACATCGTTAGAATGCGATGGTGTGACTTCAAGTGATACTGATGTCAGGTGAGAGAGGTAGGCAGGTCTGAATGCCAGAGACGGGTGGACCTGATGGGTGATTGTGACGGTTGGACTTGACGGTTGGACGTGACAGGTGGACGTGGCGTGGCGTTGGCGTGGCGTGACAGTTCCACCTACCACGCAGACGCGCATTTAACCGAATCCAAAACCTAATTTCATCACAATCCCGATTTTTATTGTGAATCTTCTAATCCATTTACTCGCCGGAAAACCTTTACTCATAAAGCACTCTTAAGTCTAAAATTACGTAATAACAACACATCCTCAGCCCTGTAATCACTAATTAACAACCTGCCACACTGCACACAACAAAATATATTTGAAAATGTTCAGGATTTAATCTAATGATATATATATGTCTTTGGGATTACATTTTCATTATCTTCACCTATGAGTCCATTATGTGTTTGTATGAATTTATCACTATTAAAAATACAATAATTTATCATCACAATTAAAAATACAATAATGTATTAGATTACGAAGGGGGGGGGGGTGCAATCAGGTACTTTATTGTAATGAGTGCTTAGGGGGGGGTCAGGTATACCGTGTTGTTATCAGGGATAGCTTCTTGTTATCAGGGGATTGGTTCCTGTTATCAGGGAATAGCTTCCTGTTATCAGGGATAGCTTCCTGTTATCAGGGAATAGCTTCCTGTTATCAGGGAATAGCTTCCTGTTATCAGGGAATAGCTTCCTGTTATCAGGGATAGCTTCCTGTTATCAGGGAATAGCTTCCTGTTATCAGGGAATAGCTTCCTGTTATCAGGGATAGCTTCCTGTTATCAGGGAATAGCTTCCTGTTATCAGGGATAGCTTCCTGTTATCAGGGAATAGCTTCCTGTTATAGGGAATAGCTTCCTGTTATGAGGAATAGCTCCTGTTATCAGGGAATAGCTTCTTGTTATCAGTGATAGCTTTTTGTTATCAGGGAGAGCTCCTTCTAGATGTAATGTCTTGTTATTCCACTGTCTGAAGCACAGAGTGACATATATACACTATTAAGGACTGGCGTTGTGCCTCGACGTTGATTTAAGATCATCAACGTTAATTCAGCGTTGGTGACGTTGGTCCGGCGTTGAATTGACGTTCCTCGTGCCGCTGGGTACAGTAACACCAAGGAGGCCTGGTCGACGACCGGGCCGCGGGGACGCTAAGCCCCGGAAGCACCTCAAGGTAACCTCAAGGTAAGGTAACACCAGTATATGCATCTCCCTAAAAGCATGAACAAGTTTTCAAAAGGTTAAATATATCAGGCAAAAAATATGTTTACAAAAAATACTTATACACATTACTATGAACTTGCCAAGTTTCTGAACATGTATATCATTGCTCTCAATGATCCA